CCTCTCTCTTGAGACCTCCTGTTAAAAGAAATTGAGCAAGTACAATTAATACATTATAAAATTTCTCTTACAGAGATTGTTCTAATTTCTTACTATCATGTAAGATACTTACAGCGGTGAGTCGGCTGATTGCTTTCTGCTCCTTTTCCACTTTCTTTTCCAATATTGCAACCTGCAATTCGTTTCTGTCAGCCTCTTCTGGCAAAAAAAGTAACAAAAGAATTAGAACTCGTACAGCCAAGGAAAATAAATCGCTTTTGTTTTTAAAATGAAAACAATTAAAATTAAGTTTGTTGGTCGTATGTTACCTTAGAGTCTCATCATGTTGCTCAAGCACATTAAAACCTTCCCGATCATGTGGCCTATATCCCTTATATCCTTCCAAAAACTTTTCATCTTCGAGAGCCAATGCAGCCGATTCAGGCGCCGCCATCTTAGAACAGTAATCAATGTTTTGGAATCATATCTTTGTCTTTGTGGTGCTGAATCATAAGTCTTTTGATTCTTCTTTGTCCAAAAGTAAAAAATAAAGCATTAATTTCACTGTATCTCCAATGACAAATGATATTAAGATCATTTTAAAACATCATTTGTCTAACTGTCTAAAAAAAATTAAAAAGCAAAAGGGAATTTTAAAATGAACAAAAAGAGCATTCTAGAAGAATCTTTCCCTTTCTCCAGCCCCCCCTCCTTTCCCCAGATATTGTTACGTGCGTATTTTAATCCTACTTTGGACATTATTAACTCATATCTGTTTGGATCATATTGTTATTATAACTGGTGAAACAAATTCCCTTGTACGCTTTCCCATTCATAATCAGTAACTGAAATCTGAGAATAAACAATATTTTCCCCAATCTTCTGCTGTTAGAGCTTCACTTTTTTGCATTACTCGTTCACACGGCCATTGTAGTGTGCCCATGGTCATGTGATCAAAATTCAGACACTTGGGAACTGACTCACACTTATGACCCTTGTGTCCCACTGTCATGTGATCACCTTTTGTATCCTTCTGACAAGCACAGTCAATGTGGAAGCACGATTCACTTAAAAGCCATGCTATTCACAAACAACTGCAGTAATTCACTTAACAGCTGTGGCAAGAAAAGTCATAAAATTGAGCAAAACTCACTTAACAACTGCCCTGCTTAGCAGTGGAAACTTAGGGCTCACTTATGGTCATAAGCAGACGACTACTGTATTGGAAGGAAACTGGTACATGCAGAATGAGGATAGAGGGGGTACCACCTGGTGGCTGAAACTGATCAGCTTAAAAGATGGAATTCTGAAGATGAGGACAATGGCTGTGTCGAAATATTAAAAACGTAAAAAACCATATATAAAACATAAGAGGCAAGTGACATTAAAAAATAATTAAAGGTTGGGGAAGGGGGTTCAGGTTGCTAACCAGACGCACGATTGCTTGCTTCTCTGTGCGCTCTGTCATGCTTCCGTCGGAGCCTGAATCTGCTGAGGAAAATGAGCTGGAACGGGACCCTATGGTGACGTTGCGAGTTTAAAACCCCTAGTCTAGCCTCTTCTTAAAAATCTCCAGTGATGGAGCACCCACAATTTCTGAAGGCAGGCTGTTCCACTGGTTAATTTCCTCACTGTTAGGAACTTTCTCCTTAATTCCAGGTTGCTTCTCTCTCTGATCAGTTTCCAACCATTGTTTCTTGTCCTGCCCTCTGGTACTTTGGAGAATAATTTGACCCCCTCTGCCTTGTGACAGCCTCTCAAATACTGGAATACTGCTATCATGTCACCCCTATTTCTGCAGCCGTTCTTCATATGTTTTAGTCTCCTGCAGCCATTCTTCATATGTTTTAGCCTCCAGGCCTTGGATCAGACATGTCAAACACAAGGCTCATGGCCAGATCTGGCCTGCCATGTGGTTGTCTGTCCTGGGGACCTGCTCTGGAAACAGTGAAGTACCGGCCCGTGGCATCTTGGCCTGGCCCAGGCTGACTGGGCACTGATCTACAACTTGGTGCCAACTATCAAAGCCAGAACGTGCTCAGCCTTAGATCCACAGGGCAGCCCTGGAACCAACGACAGGCGCCACTACCCCGCCCCCTGGGCATGCGCACAAGAGGCGGTGAGCAGGTGGAGTCCGGCGTCCCTGCTGGCTTTCTTGTCCCGCAAGCTGACTTCACTCAGGACACTGGCGCTGGTCGTATCCTGTGTGCACACCCAGGGGGCAGGACAGAGGAGATGGGGCAGCTCCTCATTGATTCCAGGGCTGCCCCGTGGATCTAAGGCTGAGGGATTCTGGCTTTGATGGACGCAACCAAGTTGTAGATCAGTGTCACTCACCCTCCCACCAGCACTTCCAGGGCCCGCTTGATGACCTAGCCTCGCAGCCACAAAGCTACCCTTTCACCAGGATTGGCCCCACCCGCGTAATATAGCGATGGCTGGCGGCAGCATGGACACTGGCAGCACTGGCATTCTCTCCCCCTCCCATCACCCCTTCCTGAGTGCGGAGGAAAGAGATGAGAATGAGAAGGGAGGGAGGGAGAGAGGAATGGAGGGAAAAAAGGGAGGAAGGAATAGAGAGAGAAAAGAAGGGAGGATGGGAAGGAAAAAAGGGAGGGAGGGAGGGAGGGAGAGGCAACTTGGTTGTCCCAGTTCACACAGTTCTGCTTCAATCCTGGGTCCATTGAAACTTGGGCCCAAAGGAGAAAGCAATTTTGTGTTCCCTTTTGTCACAAACAGGACTTTATTGGGAATCCAAGTTAACATTGGTATTCTTGAATTGTGAACTCTTAGGAAAGTATCCCCTCCTTGTGTGTTGCAAATAGTCATTTCCAGTGGGGAAAACAGGACAAAGCAGAGAGGGGGGAAATATTTTCCTTTGCTATATTTCCAGTCTGAATTAGACCATGGCAGGGTCCCTGCAGGAGAGCTCTTTTAAAGATTATGTATTAATAGAAAAGCAACCAACTTACTTCTGTTCCTAAATGCTAAAGTTGTTGGACATAAAAAACAGAGGAGCTCTGATCAACTATCACAGCCATTTTGACAGTTTTGCTGTACTGTTTGTCTGTGGATGCCCCCCACTAAATGCAAGCATGGGATAAACTGAGCCTGGTTTGCTCACGGACTACTAGAAAAAGTGGCATTTGATCACAAGGCAAGGAGGCATCGAGAAATGTTTCCCCTTTTGCATTTGAGCATCCAAGGGACAGGAAAGGAGAAAGGGAAAGAGGAAAGACAAACAAAAAGAAGGAAAGAGGGGAGGGAAGAAGAAGGAAAGGAGAATGAAGAGGGAAGGAAAAAGAAGAAAAGGGGGAGAAGGAAGGAAGATTATAACAAGGAAAGAAGGATCTGGCAGAAGTCCTGCCTTAGCACTTGGCCATGAGCAGCCCTGCTGCCCTTTCACTATCCCCTTGTCCCCTCCTCCTGACCTCTCCTGGTGGTCTCCCATCCTATTGCTGAGGATGCTTTGGTTAACAAAGCCAGGTCTCCTCATAGGGAGAGGGAGTGGGCCTCCCTCTAACCCATACATTTTGCCCTCCCGCACACACCATGAGCAACTTGGCCAAGGAGAGTGAACCAATCAGCAGCAGCCTTGAGGAGGAGGTAAACGCAGCCAGGCGCCCCCTACTGACCACAGAAGCCCTTATAATAGTGATGGCGAACCTTTTAGAGACCGAGTGTCCAAACTGCAACCCAAACCCCACTTATTTATCGCTGGGTGCCAGGTTGGCATGGCCCACTGGGTGGGTGTGGCTGTGGTGGTCATGGCAGATTGGATGGGCGTGGCCAGGGTGGATGTGGCCAGCTCGATGTTGCTCGTGGGGAGGGACGCCTGTGGGGACCGGGCAGGGTTGGGGGAGATCCAGAGGGGCCTCTGGCAGGTGGGGTAGTGGGCAGGAGTCTCGCGAGGCAAGGGGAGGCAGGGCGGGGATGCCATTGTCGTAGGCAAGGTGAGTCAGGGGCTGGGGTGGCTGCTGCCTGACACCATCAGCCCCTGCACACAGAGGCCAGCGAGCGCATGGGTGCTAGGATGCATCCGGCCATGTGGGACCTCGGCGAGTTAGCGGGCAGCTCGTTGAAGAGGGACAGTTGCCATCTCCGGAGCATGGCCTGTGTGCCCACAGAGAGGGCACTGAGTGCCACCTCTGCCACGCGTGCCATAGGTTCGTCACCACTGCCTTATAAGCAGAACACCAACTCTGACATTGCCTAAATGCCCGTGAAGATATTACCTAGCCTGGTAATGAAACGTCTGGAAACCAACCCACAAGCTTGGAGAACGAACCTCCACCCTCATCCTACACTCAAAATACAAATATTCGCCACTATTGCAAAGGCAATCCTTCCATTCCCCCCCCCCCATCACAATCGATGAAGGTTCTTGGATGAAAAGCAAAACGTTTTCTTCTTCTTCAAGGAAAAAACAGTCCAGTTACCTTTTGAAGAAAAAAAAGCACCTTTGAGACAACTCTGACCCGGATGACTGAGAATCCCCACGGACATTCTTCCACGTAAACTTGAGTGTTACGTTAAATGTTTCGATTGGGCTGCTTCTGTCCCTTTCGATGCCTCATGCTCTTGTAGTCGAGTCGTTGGCAAAAATGAAGTTTATGATTTTCCACCGGCCTCTTGTCTCCTTGCAAAAGGAGCTTTACTTGTCTGAATCAGGCAGTTCGGGGACCCCGGGAGAAAGGGCTCCAATTTTGTCTTGATCTGTCCCAACTCTGCAAAGGGCAAGGCTGCCCGCCCCGAAGAAGGAAAAAGTTCTGGCTCCTGTGCAAAACAGATCCCGGTCCTCTGCGATCGGTCTTTGAAGATCGAGTCCGTTTTTGATTTCTTTTAGCGCTTTCCGTCTCTGTCGTCGGAGAGCAACAAATGAGCCGGACTCTCCAGTTGTGCGTCCCCGAAGCGCTTCCCCGCTGCAAGATCCGTGGGTCTGTTTTTAGAAAAAGAGCGCGCATGCCTCAACCACCGGCACAGCTGCCCCGCCCCTTTGCACACTCACACAGCGCACACACAAACACACAAAGGCGCTCGGCTTGCAGCCGCTACTGCAAAACTGAAAGCATGGCTTTGTCGGAAGCGGCGGCTGCCCGGGGGCTCCTTGTGCTGCCTCGGATCGTGCTTTTCGGAGACTCCATTACTGAGGTATCGCGGGACGGGGGGGGAGGGGGATGAGTGGGACATGGCCCCAAAACAGGCGCAGCGGCCCTGTGCCCCTTTTCCTCTCCCCCGCCCCGCTTCCGATTGATTTTCACACTTATTCTTCTTTTTCTTCTTCTTACTTCCGTTCAATTCTTTGCCCCTCCCTCCACGCCAGCGGTTGCCTCCCAATCGCCGGCAGCCTCGACCTCTTCGGGGGTATTCAAGTCAGAATAGAGCTGGAAGGCACCCTGGAGGTCTTCTAGTCCAACCCCCTTGCTCAAGCAGGAGACTCTAGTCCAGTGTTTCTCAACCTTGACAATTTTAAGGCATGTGGACTTCAACTCCCAGAATTCCACAGCCAGCATTGCTGGCTGTGGAATTCTGGGAGTTGAAGTCCACATGCCTTAAAATTGTCAAGGTTGAGAAACACTGCTCTAGTCTAGTCTATACCATTTCAGACGAGTGGCTGTCCAGTCTCTTCTTTTTTCTACCTAAGCATTTTTCTCTTAGAAAAAAAATTCTACCTAAGATTTGTTGTTGTTTTTTCTCTCTCCTTAGGTAGAAATTCATCAGGCGAAGTTTTCTTTTGAGCTGCCCAAAGAGGCTCGGAGGATTTGCTTAACGTGGATTGGATTTTCTATTACAAGCAGCTTTTTAAGGAGCAGCGTTTGAGCTGCGAGGGGAGCAGGGCTGCCCGTTGGAACTGCTGGTCTAATGCGATCACAGCTGGTTGCCAGGCTTGGAGCCAAGTTAAAAAAACCTGGGAAAGAGGAGATGATGGTTTGCAGCCGACTTAAAATTTAAGGAGGTTTGAAAATGGGCTTCCCCTCTCTACCTTACTGTAATTGAAAATACAGTCAGGAGTGTCGGGAATTTTGCTGAAATAGTTGGGAAAGTCAAAATGACCACACATGTGGCCTGCCTTTCAAGATTGTTGTGTTTAATCTGAAATCTCAAGACTGGATTATTATTTTTTACCCATCTTAAAATAGTTCTTAGAAGGTGGGAAAAGGTAAAGGAATATCTCTTCCTTCAGGATTCCAGCTGGGACTTTCAGCCCATTCTGTGGGTCTGTTTTGCCCTTAAACTGAAGTTGCTCATAAGGGCTTATCTACCCCCACCACTATTTCATAATGGTCTGTGAGAATAGCACCTTTGACATATGCACGGATAAATAATTTTATTTACATGTGGCTTTTTCATTCAGTCAAAATATTTGTAGGTAGTCAAGATTGTGGAAAACCTGAATATACACGGATATTTTTTAACCTCCTTATTTTGGCTACATGTTATTTCCAATGGTCTAAATCGGGTGGGCAACCTTGGCTCTTTTATGACTCGTGGACTTCAACTCCCAGAATTCCTGAGCCAGCCAGGGAGAGGTTTCCAAGCTGAGCCATGCTGGCTCAGGAATTCTGGGAGTTGCAGTCCACGATTCATAAAAGAGCCAAGGTTGCCTACCCCTGGTCTAAATAAAAGTACCTGGTACTGAAGGATTCCCAACCAACTCTTTTGATCAGATAAAATAGACTGTGTGTTTTATACAGGTAGTCCTTGATTGTAACCACAACTGGGATCAGAATTTCATCCTAATTCAGTGTGGTCGTAAAGTGAGTCATCATGTAATTGGACCTGATTTTACAACCACTTTTAGCACAGTCATTAAGCAAAACATTGCAGTTGTTAAATAAAACATGGTCATTAAGCAATCCATCTTCACCAGTTGCTGTCCTTTGTAAGAAACAGGCTGGGAAAGTCACAAATTGCGATCACATGACTGTAGGGGTGGTGCGATGGCCATAAGTGCAAGGACAGGTTGTAAATCACTTTTTCCAAGACTGTTGTAATTTTAAATTGTCCTTAAATGAACAGTCGTAAGTGCAGGATTACTTATACAGTGCAAGGCTAGAATATTATGTACATGCACACCCAGCAGTGTTTCAAATGAAGTTGAGGAATTGATCCACGGACCAAATTCCACCCCACCACCCCAATAATATTTCTTGCATATTTACTTTAGAAAAGAAGCAGCCAAACTTCCTGCTCAAATTGAGGATGATGGTGATCACTTCCAGCCTTCCTGTGAACCCAGGAAGCAGTTCCTTGAATAGATATGGGGCTTTGTAGTCCTAGATTTTGGATTGGGAACCCTGGCAGTGCATTATGGCTGGTAGAGGGTGGTTTTTCAGTTTTATTTCAAAGTGTATCAGTGAATGCTCTATTCTGCGTTGCAGTTATTTGTCACTCTTTAAATAATCCATAAAGTTGTCTGATGTACATTGGTTTTTACTAACAGAGAAATTACGCAGGGCTACCAGGTATGGGCTGTCAAATGCTGAACAACCCCTTTGTGGCAGCAGAGAGTTTCCTGTGCCTCTTTACTGCCATCTACTGTAGAGATTGGGACTTTGCAACTCAGAACTGGTAGCCCTAAATTTGGTACTGTATTTCAGAGGTCCCCAACTTGTGGGCTGTGACCGTGAGGGAATTGTAATTAGGCTGCGAAAACAGCCAGCAAGTGCATGCACCCATCCTCACTTGCGCCAGCAGTGGGCGAGCGTGTGTGCATGCTCCATTTGCGTGAGCAGCAGGTAGGCGTGCACAAATGGAGCTGCGTGCATGCCATTGCCGGCCACTCACATGGAACCATCCCCTCTCCTCCCTCCGCTGGTCTGCAAAGCCNGGGAATTGTAATTAGGCTGCGAAAACAGCCAGCAAGTGCATGCACCCATCCTCACTTGCGCCAGCAGTGGGCGAGCGTGTGTGCATGCTCCATTTGCGTGAGCAGCAGGTAGGCGTGCACAAATGGAGCTGCGTGCATGCCATTGCCGGCCACTCACATGGAACCATCCCCTCTCCTCCCTCCGCTGGTCTGCAAAGCCGGAACTTTGCTGCACTTGATTGCAGTGGGTCACTGTGTATGAGGCTTAAAATACACAATAATGTTGGAGACACTGTGCTGAGCTGTAAGGATTAGTACATTGATTGGGATCTCTGCATTTATATAAATTGTTCATTGTCTTTCTTCTAGTTTTCCTTCCAAGATAAGGGATGGGGCGCATCACTTGCTAATAGATTAGTTAGGTAAGAAATGCTAGCATTTTATTTACTAATTTTACCTCCCATGTTGTGAGTTCTTTTGTCACATTGAGAGAAAACACACCGCCAGAATATTAAAATGATACTTCTTTCTCTGCATTCTTGATGGTGCACTCTTGATGGTGTTCTCATCTGACACATAGGAAATCGTAAGAGATCACCAAGGAACCAGTGAAATTAATATTCCTGTGACTGTAAACGGTAGACTCCTTGCTTTTTTCTGCTGTTATAATAATGATAATAATGATGATGATGATGATGATGATGATGATGATGATGATGATGATGATGATGATAATAATAATAATAATAATAATAATAATAATAATAATAATAATAAAGTTGGAAGGGACCTTGGAGGTCATCTGGTCCAATCCCCTGCTCAGGCAGGAAATCCTATACCATTTCAGACAAATGGCCGTCCAGTCTCTTCTTAAAAACTTCCAGTGTTGGAGCATTCACCGCTTCTGGAGGCAGGTTGTTCCACTGGTTAATTGTTCTAACTGTCAGGAAGTTTCTCCTTAGTTCTAGGTTGCTTCTCTCTTTGATTAGTTTCCATCAGTTGCTTCTTGTCCTGCCTTCAGGCGCCTTGGAAAATAGCTTGACTCCCTCTTCTTTGTGGCAACCCCTGAGATATTGGAACACTGCTATCATGTCCCCCCTTGTCCTTCTCTTCGTTAAACTAGACATACCCAATTCCAGCAGCCGTTCCTTACAGCATCCCACTTTGTTGTTGATGAGTGCCAGCCCCACCAGGTAGAAGAGACCAGCAAATCAACTGCATGGCAATGCAAAATCGACTTTTAATGAGATTGCTAGAATAACAGAATTGTGCAGATGTGGTTCTGCTATACCTTCTCTACCTTCTTAGTTCAATGAATTAGGGAGGGGTCTGCCTAAGCCACTTCTGAATGGGATCTCATTCCTCTGAGCTTAAACAGTGTTCATTCCCTTTTTGCCTAGACAACAGTTTGTGCCTATTTCCTCAAGATCATCTTCCCTGTGGTCTACAACTGTGTTCTCCCACCAATTTTTAAACAATTTCTAAAAGTTCTACTTGACCTCTATAGTAATCCAGGCTCTTTTGAATCTGTAATGATGCGTAATCCTAGGAAATTGATTGAAAACATGAACGTCATGATTGTTCTGTATTGTAAATAAGGTTTGACCAATAAAGTGTGTATGAATTCTGGATAGAAAGATACAAAATGCTTATTACTTTTAGTATTAGTGTTGTTTAACAATATGGATATTCTATTGTTTAATAATTAGGATACTAATTTGTTTATGTTTTAATTATTATTATATTTATGTTAAAGGGGAGTTAAAGCGCATTATGGGCTTGGTTATTTATATAGTTGGTTAATGTTAGTTAGATTATGATTATTATATTTGTAACCCTGTATTCAGCTCTGGGAAGTGGGGGAGGGAGAGGGGGGGTTAGGGTGGGTTGGTTTTGGGGTTTATATTGTAACGTTTATAAAACTTTTCAATAAAAAAAAAGAAAGATACAAAATGCTCCTTTTCAACATGGAATATAGTGCATGATGGAGAGGGGAGGAAGAGAAGGTCAGATTCACGCTAAGGGCTGAACCAATTTGACTGGTCGTATGTATCAGTGAATTCTTTGGGACTAAAATTCTGAATAACCTACATGGAATACACTACTTAATAATTCCCTGCCCAACCTTTACCATTT